AAAAAAAAAAAAAAAAAGAAAAGAAATTGTGGTTAAGGGAAAGCCCTCACACTAAAGAATAAAAGCACCAAAGAAATGGGCACATTTTAGGAAACACTGCACTTCCTACTGGCCCTACAGAATTGTATAATAAAATTCTCTTAACTAAGCACAGTTCTTTACTTGTTGCAATTCTCCATATATAAATTACCTAGAGATCTGTAGTGTTCCAGGAGAGCAGAGTCTTGTCTCCTGCGAGGCAGCTCAAGGTTATGGAAGTCCTGAAGTAAAAGTCTTTTGCTTCCCGATGAGGTTGAGATATAATTAATAATGTGCTGGCTGACTGTTTTGGACACCATGCTTAGCATGCTGATGTCTTTCACTATCAAAAGAAATATATATAATGCACGAACAGCTTAAGTGCAAAAACGTCACTATCAACACAGTTTACTAACTTATACGTTAACTCAATATTAATAGCAATAAACTCAGTGGGAAAAAATGGAAAAAATCTTATACTTGTTTTAAAACCAGTTCCTGGCCAGGTGTAGTGGCTCACACTTATAATTCCGGCACTTTGGGAGGCCGAGGCGAGAGGAGTGCCTAAGCCCACGGGTTCAAGATCAACCTAGGCAACTTGGCGAGACCTCGTCTCTACAATAAATCAAAAAATTAGCCCGGGCATGGTGGCACATGCCTGTCGTTCCAGCTACTTGGAAGACTGAGGCGGAAGGATCGCCTGAGCCCAGCAGGTCAAGGCTGCGATGGCTATGAGCGTGCCACAGCACTCTAGCCTGAGCGACAGAGTGAGACTCTAACTCAAAAAATAAAAATAAATAAACAAAACCGGTTCTCAATGAGTTAGAAGCATGGTGGGATTTAACAATCAAGTTACCAAGTCATTATAAGTAGAAGCATGCTTTAAAAGAGTTTGAGTATTGTCTTTCTCATTGTACCCTTTACCTGACAATGATGAAACTTTAGAAAACAAACTTAATGTGAATGTCATTAACATTTTAGCAGGGCCTAAGACAACAAATTAGTTTTTGGGAAAAATTAAAATAGTCTAGTGCCTTGGGTAGCTTATTCATAGTCCCCAAGCCTCACCTGACAAATATCTTAAAATTATTTGAAATATTTCCAAAGGCAAAGCTTTAAAATTTCCAAATGTTGATAAGGGCTGAGAGCCTGAGTCAAGGGTGTTGGAATAACAGCTCGATCGACGGTTACTACGTCTATATTTCTGATTGGGAATCAAAGTGAAACTGGTATTTATTTTGGATGCCATTTTTCTTCTTATCTCATACATTTACCCTGGTCAGAGACAAAGAAAGGAAATTAAATGAATGAAGAGTATTTTTTTGTTTTTTTTTTTTTAATGAAGAGGTTGATAGTACGACAGGCACTAGCTGTCTCTTCATATTTACAAAGTTTTAATATGATGCTCAATTTTGGAGTTCCCACCAATAGAGTCTGTTTATTCATCTCAGCATTGTTTGAAACAGTTTCAAATCCTTTACCTCTTTGACAAGAGTATCTCTTATTCTATTCCAGATAGAGCAAGAGTTTTAGTAAATTTGACATGTATTTGGGTGAGATATATTCTAAGAAATAAAAAATGCAAAATAGAAAAAAGTTTAACATAAAATCAAAATAACATTCCATGTATTCAAATACATTCACTCTCAATTCGTATGTTGCTTTTACAACCTTTTTTTGGTTTTTTTGAGTTGGAGTCTCACTCTGTTGCTCAGGCTGGAGTACAATGACATGCTCAAGGCCACTGCAGCCTTGACTTACTGGACTCAGGTGATCCTTCTGCCTCAGCCTTCCAAGTAGCCAGAACTACAGGCACACAATGCCACGTCCGGCTAGTTTTTGATTTAATGCAGAGATGAGGTCTCGCCAAGTTGCCCGGGCTGGTCTCGAATCTGTGGGCTCAGGCAATCTACTCGCCTCGGCCTTCCAAAGTTTAGGGATTACAGGCTGAGCCACCAAGCCCAGCCTACAACCTTTATGTACTAAAAAATCAAAGTACTAATATAGCTTTAAAAATTCATAGTAATATTTTTCTTTTTCTTTATAACCGAGTAGTGACATGCTCTTTTGTTAGAAACAATAAAAAGAAAGGTTAAAAAAAATGGAGATCTTTTAAGTTTAGAGCTATTTAAAATTTAACTCTAACAGATTAAATAGGTGGCATTACTATTACCAATTATGTGCTGCATAATACTCAAATAAGCAATGTAATTAAAGTCTTACAAAATGAATGATTGTCCGGCTCAGTGGCTCAGCCTGTAATCCCAGCACTTTGGGAGGCCGAGGTGAGTGGATTGCCTGAGCCCGTGGGTTCGAGACCTGCCTGGGCAACTTGGTGAGACCTCATCTCTACAATAAATAAAAAAATTAGCCGGGCGTGGTAGCGCGTGCTTGTAGTTCCAGCTACTTGGAAGGCTGAAGCTGAAGGATTGCC